ACCCAGTAATATAATTGTTTATTATCATTATCGGTTACTATACATAAGTGAATATTTTGTACTTTTATCATACTAGAAGCCTGCTAGGTTTGTTTACCCAGTGTCCCCGAGTGAATATTACTTTAAGATACCATGGCTACATCAGTAGGTGACAGGAATTTTTCAGCTCCATACTAAACTTATGGGACAACTATCATATATAAAGATAAGTGTCATTAAATGAAATGCTATTATACAGTGCATAACTGCATTTATGTACTTGCTATTTCAATTATTCCTACAGTCTCAGAAGTAATTCTGAATATATCACATTAGCCTCATTTTCCCCCCATTGGTATAATAAAATCTACGAAAGCTAAATTTTCTGTAGTTTTCAAAATTTGTCAATCATTTGGACCTAGTATATACAAAAGTATTATTTGGGCAATTTAATTAACATCACATTTGATTGATTATATCTGAGCACTTTTTTCACATTCAAATATTCTAATAATGTTGAAATATTAGATGAAATAATTTGATATAATACTATATTACTGGCATTATCAAGGTTCATAATATCTTCTAATTGTGTCTTCTACCTATGCCCTGGATGTTGTAAATTTTATGTTTGCTAAGACCTTGATCCATCACATTTTCCCTTTCTATGTATTATCAGCCTCTTTCAAAAGTTTCTCTATTTCTCAAGTGCTCAGTCAAAACTTCCCTTTACTGTATTCCTCTTCTAGCTACCTCATATTGTCCTCACATCTTTGCATTTGTCCCTTTTGAAATGAGTGTGAAAATACCATCACTTTCTAAGCTTCATTGATTTTTCAAACTATCTAAAAGATCCAGGCCTATCTATTGAAGGCATTTTTGCCAAAATAAGTGAGGTTTTGTGTGTTTGTTTAGGTAATGGCCTGTGGATGATTTCCAACCCAATATTGCAAAGTCTAGCACATCACAAATTCAGATGGTCACATTTTCATTCAACCCAGTGACCAGCCATGGCTGTAGTTATCCTCTACTAAGCAAGCCTTCTATCATTAAGAAAGGTTAAAAGGAGAACACAGGACCAATTCCAAATCCTCTCTAAAAGTAATAATATATTGAGTTCTGACAAGAAGCTAAGAATCTAAGAATCTTGAAGTAATGTAAGTTGCCCCAAGTATGCAAAGTACTCAAAAATATGGTTACAAACCTTTGCCTGACTACCATATGTTGATCTCTACATACCATCATGTAGAAAATGAATCTGAACTCTTCTCTATAGACATAGAGGACACTTTTTAATGATTATAACAATTTTCCAGAAAATTCCAATTATAGAACCCATGGATTACATGGCACACTGGTGGTAATAATCAAGCATTCTTGAAACAAGTATCTCAATTTGCAGATAAATCTATATCACAATATATACCCTAATGTTTGAAATCTTATTTGGACTTGAAACTAATTGTGCATCATTCATCCATTTGAGCACATCAACTAGGGAGAGAGAGTTAAGTCCTATATTTTTATATGGAGTATCTGTGCATGGACTGGAGCTCTAATTTCTCTCACAAGAGTTTTTATAAATATAGGCATCATATGTACAATGTAAGAATAATTTACATTGTTCAAGTGCCACATCCCTATATTTAAGGTAATATAAATGCATTTAGAGAAAGTTAGATATTTATATAGTAAGTGTCATGAATTAAACCAATGTTAAAAAATGACAGAAATACACAGAAGATTTAATTTATTCCTTCAGACCATGAGTTGTAATACAATAGAGTAATACAAATCCTAATAACGCTATATTTATAAAACTCTATGCACATCTTTTTGAATAGTGTAACAGGTGCTTATAAAATGAAATGATACTAATTAAATAAATGAATAATTCACATCTTAGAACATTCATTCAGGATCTCACAAAAATTTTTAAAAAACTATTATGTGGAATTTATCCTTTTTTCAATTTTCCAAATCAAAACTTTCACTTAGTCATTTAAACAAAATTACTTGATCCATATTATCCATCGTCTTATCATAAGGTACTTAAAACATAACTTTGAATACCCACTATAGACATTCAACACAGCCAGCATTATAATAACACACAGACACACACATACACTTTCCTTTTAAAGTTTGATAATGATATATCACCCTTTTATCATAGCAATTTGAAAAAAAATGCAATTGCTTTATAACCAAAAGTTAAAATGCTTTTAAAAGCTATACCAGTGTAAATTGTTCAATTATCATGTATTAGTAAAATAAAAAGAAAGTTCCCAGTAAAAAGCTTTGATTTTCATTCCTTAAATAATGATTAAATTTATTCTTTTTCTCATTATGAATTAAGTTTAATCATAAAAATTAATCTCAGAATTTATTCACAGGTTGGGTAAAATATTGTCCACTCAGAGTTCAATATAAATAGGATCATTAATTGGTTATATGTTGTAAGTTAAATGTTATCTACTGGTGAGGTAGTGATGATATGGTGATGCAGGAAATAATTACTTTTAAAACAGCAATAATTTGTTAGAAGACAAACAGAGTAGTACCATGCCTTTAATAAGACATTAGTAATCATACTTTTCCTTTGGAAGAATGAAGACATTAACAACAGAGCCTGCTAGTAGGTCATTTTATTATAAGATTCCTTCGATTTTTAATTTTTACATGAAAACA